GTTTTGAGATCCCTCCCCAGACGCCTTAACGCCCACTCACATCCTGGGCCATCTGACCTCAGGAATTCGCATGATAAGATGGGGCCAGGTTTCACAATGAGCTCACCCGAAACCCTGGCTGATTGGGACCCACACCCAGTTTCCCACCTTGGCTCAGGCGATTCGAGAATCATCAGGGGTCCTTTTGTCCCTCTGTGGGGGGAAACTCCCACTAGGTTTAAATCTGGGACTCCCCACCATTTGACCTTAGAACTGAAGAAGCTTCTTGGATGAGAGGTGAAACGTCTTCAAGCAACTTAAAGAAGTCCAGACACTTTTCTTTGCAAGCTCCTTTGACTACGATGACCTGGATGACTGAGAACCTTCACAGACATCATCAAAGACAGTTCCCAACTTTTTCAACCTGCTCCCCTCAGTTATCAGCACAAAGACCCACAGACTCAAGAACAGTTTCTTTCCAAAAGCCGTAACCACCCTCAACTCACACGTGCACTGATAAACACAGTGCCACTCTCCCTCAATCCAAGGATTCCCTCTATAAACCAACAAGTGCAATAATCCAAACTGTATATACTATTTATTTAGATATTTCATTTCCTTTTTTTAACCCAATTGTACACTTGCACATTTTATATTTTTCTTTCCGTAAATACTGTCCATATGCATATAGAGCTGCAGAAACTGTGCCCCCCCCAACACCCCACCCCACCATGTTTGCTGTGTATCTCATTGTACATCTGTATAGTGACAATAAAGGAGGCATTCTATTGCAAAATAAATTAGATTATCCTCAGTGTTACTGAGTGAAATGAAGTGAAAACAGTTGAAGTAGTACACTGTAGATGAAGCCCCCCCCTCATTATTTAAACTGAACAGGAAGTTTCTGACAAATGTGTGAGTCATGCAAGTGTTGTATAGTAGCTCTTTCAAAGAAGTCTCAGCAAATAGTAGCAAGCAAGCGTATACAGTGAGTCTCAGTGCTTATCTAGCTAACAAAAACATTTCTTTACAAATTACGAAGATATATTTTTCTGTTGTATGTTAAAGCTTGAGCAGATGTTAATATTTATAGAGTAAAAGGGTTTGTTTGTGTTGCAGAGACACTTGTAGTAATTCTGAAGTTGAGATCTTGAAGCCTCAGTGTGATGAGCCGTCCACAGAGCTACACAGAAGGTAAGAACTTGATCATGTAAATACTGTTAGCATGCAGCAAAACTTTTCTTGGGTCTTGAAATATGTTAAAGTTTTGGTTAAGTTTTATGTATAATGGAGGTAACTGTAAATAAATTGCTCATCTCTGGGAACCTGAAATGTCTGCCGAGTCTGCTTACCTACCACCTTTTTCAACACTCTTCTACACTGAGACACTTTGAGATCCACTACATAAGAACACTGAGCTACGTAGACAGTAAAAGCATTAATGTGGGTAAATCAACAGAAAAGTAAAGAAAAGGGGAGCTTCAGTTATAGCTGAGTACTCATTATAACACATCTGGTACTTAACTTACATGTGTGCTTTTTATACAGACAGGACATGTAGGAGAGGTTTAGTCGTTGTGTGGTTTGACAAGTTTCAGTGGACATTTGCATGTTAGCAAACCACAGGTAGAAAAAAACAACCACAGCTCATTTAGCAACTTATTCACATCTGCCTGAGTTCCAAAATGAAATGAAGGATAAAATAAATAAAATGCATCAAAATATTATGTGTAACTCCAGGTTAAAATTGAAGAAAGTAATGATTTGGTTTATCTGTTATCAAGAAAAATACAAGGAAAGAAAAACATTTCATTAAACATAAAGTGGGCTGTAGATAAAGTCTCTTCTCCATTTTTAAATCTAACAGGAAGAGGTTTTTTCTAACACGATGGTGTGAAACATGAAGATGACATAGAGTATTTATTTTGAGAAGATGGGAGGAGGAAAATATTATATTTAGTGCTAGTATCTTTGTACCAGCTCTAAGCACTACAAACAGTTCTTACGCTGTTATCAAACCTTGAGTAAAATATGAATAGTCACAAAATAAATGTTTTTATGATTCAGTTGGACTAACTTGACACTTTGAGCTGTCCACAGAACAACACAGAAAAAGCATTTTGTCTTGTGTATATATTTGTTTCCTCTGGGTACTCCAGCTTCTCCCTTCAGTCCAAAAACACACCTTTTAGGTCAACTGGTGAAACTCAGTTGGTCTTGGTTGTAGATGCAACAAAACAGAAGGTAGACAGAAATTAAAGCCCAATTTGAATCTGTACATAAAAAAGATCGTTGTAAGTTTTAGTCTTTATTGGCAGGAAGGAGCCTTCGATTAGGATGGTTTGAAAGAGGAGTGAAAGAAGCCATCTATGTCCACTGTGAGCGACCATCTTTGAACAGAGGCAGTGGTTTACGACAGCGGTCCCCAACCTTTTTTGCACCACAGACCGGTTTATGCCCGACAATATTTTCACGGACCGGCCTTCAAGGTGTCGCGGATAAATACAACAAAATAAAACTAGTACCGGTACCGAAAAAAAGAAGATTTATTCATAACACATGTGAAAAGACCCAGGAAAACCGAGTTAACGATAAAAACGATAACAAAATAATGCTGAAAACCGATAAAAACCCTGAAAACCATACATTTCACACCTGAGCCTCAACTCTCACGGTACCAAACGACTCACGGACCGGTACCGGTCCAAGGCCCGGGGGTTGGGGACCGCTGGTTTACGACACCAACTGTCTGACATCTATAATCCAGTTTTGAGATCCCTCCCCAGACGCCTTAACGCCCACTCACATCCTGGGCCATCTGACCTCAGGAATTCGCATGATAAGGTGGGGCCAGGTTTCACAATGAGCTCACCCAAAACTCTGGCTGATTGGGACCCACACCCAGTTTCCCACCTTGGCTCAGGCGATTAGAGGATCATCAGGGGGTCCTTTTGTCCCTCTGCGGGGGGATACTCTCACTAGGTTTATATCTGGGACTCCCCACCATTTGACCTTAGAACTGAAGAAGCTTCTCGGATGAGAGGTGAAACGTCTTCAAGCAACTTAAAGAAGTCCAGACACTTTTCTTTACAAGCTCCTTTGACTATAAATATAGTGTAACTAACTAACATCATATATTAGATGTGCTGTGTTTTTGAGTAATAAACACTTTCAGTCTGTTGACTTCTTGTTGATGTTACTTTCACACATTTTTCCACACAAACAGTGCAGACGAAGATTATGTACTGTGTGGTTTCAGGGCACACTCTCATACTTTTCTCAGTAAAAGATTCCCGCTCTGTCTTATAAATTTAAGCTAAATATACCAGATGTCTAAAAGATATCAGCTTATTGACCAACAAATTGTCTGTATCCTAAAAATGACAGAATACAAATGTTTCATTGATCTGAATTTAAGGAAAATATTTAAGCATGATGAACTCTCAGTCCTTTAAATTCAACAACACGAAGGTGAAGAAAAACAGAGCTTCAGTGAGACGTGAGTGTTCATCATCAAACAACCACCAGTCTGAACAAAACTTCCCAGAATAGAAGAAAAACATGTAATATTTTTACCTGCATAAAACTTAGTTGACATGGTGGTGCAGTGTTTAGCACTGTTGCCTCACATCAAGAGCGTTCTGGGTTTAAACTTTCCTGTGGCTCTCACTGTGAAATTTGCATTTTCTCTGCCTCCACAATCCAAAGACATGTACATAGGTTAACCATTGATTCATGAATTTGATTTCTTTATATTTTTTTTGACAGTGAGACTAGCAAGTTTTATTTATATGCCAGCAAATTGGACGGCCCTGTAGTGTTTTAAGAATACATTCTGAAATGTAAAGAAAGATTAGAACAGTCACATGTTAATAATGAGGCAAAAAGCAGCAGTGAAGGGACTGACTTTTTCTCATGTCTTTATCTGAGTCACATGATCACAGGAGCGGTCCTAGCCTGTTTCGTGCCCTGGGCAAACACTCCCTCCCTTTGACCTTTTCATGCCTATCTTCCATTGGTGTTAATTTTGCACTCCAGTGTCAACACCCATCCCCTAACAGACCTACACCTTAGTGCACCGATTCGGTTTGTATGGGTTTATTTCTTTTCTGGGATTTCACACAACCCAGGGAAAATCATTCATACATAATCTTCTTGATGCATTCTCAATCATCCAGGAAAGTAAATTTCCAAAAGTTGATTCTGATCATCTGGACGTAGCGTTTTGTGGGAGAAACGTTTCGTCTCTCATCCAAGTGACTTCTTCAGCCTCAGCTGACTGCAGGTTTCCCCAAATCTTATAAACAGTACATTTGCATAATGACTGAAACCAGCCCACTGAAGGAACAATGGGCTTCTCATGACCATTGATCAACAACCATTGACCAAAACCCCCTGATCAAAGACCACTGATCAATGGCCATGACTACCATTCACAGAGAGTTGGGGAATGGCTGCAATCACAGCATTGTAAGATGGCGAACGATGTACCCTTAGGCCTCCTCCTCGATTCAGAGATGGTCTTTCCCTTTTCACATAAATGGCCTCCTTGACTCCACGCTCAAATCAGCGTTCCTCCCTGTCCAAGATGTGAACATCCTCATCATTGAAAGAGTGTCCACTGGCCTGTAGGTGTAAATAGACTGCAAAGACACACATCTTGGCCAGGGAGGAACGCTGTCTGGTCATTTTTCTCTCACCAACCAAGACAGATGGCAAAATAAACAGGGAAAATGAAGGAACTCAAACATAGACATCAAATAATAAAAGAGTTAAAAGAATAAACAGTGTTAAAAACAATGTGTTTTTTAATCACAAACAAATGCACATGAATAAAATATTCAGTGATGGCAAACATGTGTGCAGCATTTCCACACACAAGAAAACTTTGTCTCAGTCAAAATGAAAACAGTACGAACTGTAGTTGAAGTCTCCTCCTTCTTCTTTAATTCACAGGAAGCTGTTTTTTGATAACATGAAGTTGTTGGGGGTTTTTTAGCATTTCCTTTTTAAAAGGCTAAGGCGAGGTCAAGGAAACATTTATGGTGAGTCTCATTGCTAATCTGTCATTTAAATGTAACTGAATCTAAAAAAAAATCACAAAAATGAGAAAAGCACAAATAGTTTTAGTTTTTGTTATTTAGATTTTGTGATTTAGAGACAGCTGGACTAATTCTGAAGTCAGAACCTTGAAGACTGCAAGATGAACAGTCCACAGAGCTGCACAGAGGGTAAGAATATTATGTTAATTCAACAGAAAGGAGAAGGGTAGAACCAGCAGTTTGAAGTTAACTGGAATAAACCCACACTGATATATAAACTAACTTGATATATAAAAGTAGACTTCAAGTCAGAATTAAAATGAGGATCTGAAAATGTGTCACATTTCACATGTGTCTTGTCTAATCTAACTGTGGTTCTCAGAGTTGGCAGCTTGATGAACCAGACAAACCAGCCTTTACCAGACAAAGGCTGAACATTCGTAAACAGTTAAATGTTTCTCTATTTGCCCTTAACTACACTACGTAGACTTTGTTAGAACCATTTATTATGTGTCCACTTTCTGTCTTCTTTATGTGATTCATCAGATGAAGCTCCTGACGCTCAACATGCAAAATCAACCAAAGGGTCAAAGGTCACCTCAGAGAGAATAGCCCTGTCCGTTTTCAGTGTTCTCCTGGCAGCAGCTGTCATTGTTATTTACCGTCTCTGTAAGTTTTTTTGTGTGTGCACTAGGGGTGGAATGGTTTTTTTGGTTCATTTTGGTAAATCTATTGGTATCAGGTAATATATATTAGGACATGTATACAGGTCATCTGCTAATCGTAAGGTTGGTAGTTCGATCCCTCCAGTCTGCTTGCCAAATACATAGAACAAAGAAAAAAGTGCTTGCATGAATGGGTGAATGAGGGAAGTTGTGTAAAGTGCTTTGAGTGCTCAGAGTAGAAAAGTGCAATATAAGAAGCCATTCATATACCATTTATAGTGTTTAAAATGCAAGGACGCATACTGAGGACGTGCCATGTAGTCATGCAAAACTGAAAGAATGAAGCAGCCTGGAATGGACGTCATTGTCACATTCTTATGTTAAAGTTAGGTTAAAGTAAAACTGGAGACACTGATGCTTTAAAAATGCTTTTCATTTGTTTGTCAAATGTTTTTTTTTAAAGGGTTTACTTAAATTATGCAAGTGCATAACTAATAATCCACCATCGCGTTTTAACTAAAAGACTGTTTTTTCTTGATGCTAAAAATGCAATGATCCTGCCGTCCTCAAGACCTTTCTGCATGTTCAAAACATAATGACTAAAATGACTGACTCTGTCACCTCTACTATGACATAAGCCTGGATATCTTTATCTATGAAACCTGCCAGTGTTTTTGTTTTGAATTTTCACTGAGAGACTGTTTAAAAGTTGAGACATTGGGGTGACATCTCTATAGATATTGGACTTGTTGCAGCTGGCATAAGCAACATGCACAGTGCTTGCACACTTTTGGATTTTAATTAATCAATTTCTTACTGCCATCATCTTAGGTAGCACTAACTCCAAAGCGGGCCCAAACAGGAGATGGAAATGATGCTGCTACTGGCACATCCTGTATCGCTGGGCCTGCTTTGTCTTTACCGTTTTTCATTTTTCCATGACTTGGTTGCTGCAGTAGACACTCGACCTTTCTGCCCTTCATTACTGGTGCAAGGCTTTTTTGTGTATGTCCTGAATCGAACAACACACACATCTGAAACCGAGATAAACAAACCAAAAGGGACAGTCTTTTTTTCATGAACAGTTTCAGCTATTGTGTGCACAGGTGTATATATATATAAGTTTGACTTTAAAAAAGAAATGTTCCCTTGATGTTTTCCTCCATTTTTTTACTTCAAAGGCATTGTTTTAAAATCTTGTCATGAAAAGATCTGAAAGGACAAATCTTTGTCCCATTTTAGTGAAACCAAAAAGTGTTACTCTAACTACTTTTCTCTTGTTATGAAATCAGCTGTTGAAAACTGGCTTAGCAGAAAAAATCTCCAAACACTGAATGAAGAGAATGCAGCTTTGAGGAAAACTCTCACGGGTGAGAGAAACTCTAAAAGATTCAATGTTATTCAGCTGCTCTGAAAATAGTATTCAACCTAACTATTGTTTGAAGAACTAGCATTAGTGCTTCTTCTTATTTGACATTGTTAGGGCAGTGTGAGACTAAAGTAAGAGAAGCATTTAAGTGCATATCATCATGTCTTTCAGTTGTATATTTTGCTGCCATTGGTTGTTGCTTTAGTTGCTCATTTCAAAGTTGAGATATATTTAACTTCTAGCCCCATACCAAACCTGTGATTTCTCATTTCTGCATAGCTGCTCGTCCCTTCCTGTGTGAATTCCTCTTTATGCTGCTGACAGTAGCAGACTGACAGGAGCCTCTTCAACTGAGTTTTGCATTAATGTACACAAACAAACAAAACGGGAAACAAATCTTTCCTAGTAACACAACTTAATAGAATATATTCTGTGACCATTCAAACTGCTTTTCTTAAATCAAAGACACATCAGATGATATATATATTATTTTTTTATAGAAGTAAAATCATGCAGCAATAAGAATCTCACGTGTCCTGAAATTCCTAAAGTAAATATAAGTAAGTTATGGATTTTGTGTTTCTCTAATTGATATCCACTAATGACTGTAAAGTTGGAATTGTACAATATTTTCCACTTGACTAAAGTCTTTTCTGTAATTCTTCAAAGACGGGCCATGTGCATGTGATGAAGGCTGGGATGAACATGGAGGAAAGTGTTATTACTTCTCCACCAATAAATCATCCTGGACAGAGAGCAGAGATGAATGTAGGGCTAAAGGAGGCGACCTGGTTAAGATAGATAACTGGTGTGAGCAGGTATAAATCACATAATTTTCATTTCATTCATCATTCATTTGTTTCACATCTTTAAATTTTAAAATGTGCTTTAGAAGATCTTTCTCTATATCAATAACACTCAAACATCTCCTTTTCAGATTTTTCTAAGAACCAGATTGAATGGAAAAATGGAGAACTTTGACGACATGTTCTGGATTGGCCTGACAGATGCAGTGGAAGAGGGCAGATGGTTGTGGTTGGATGGCTCACCACTAAACACAAGGTTTGATTATCATAAACATTTTTTTTTCCATTTACAATATGCTGTTTGGAAGTTAACGTGATCATTTCTTTTCGGCCTTCATCCAATAGTTTGTCTTTTTGGGCTGACCATGAGCCGGACAACTGGACTCATGAAAATCCTGATGGAGAGCATTGTGTAAGGCTGGGGGAAGAAGAAGGAGAAGAACCCCTGAAGACTTGGTATGATAAGTTTTGCAAAGCTCCTAATAAGAGCATATGCGAAAAATGGGTAAAAACAGATTGACTGACTGTTTTATTTCAAACATATAAATATAACTGAACTAACAAGAGAATGCATTGTAAAAGATATTGAGTGGTCATGAATATCTGTGTGTACCACTTAGATGCTCAAAAAGTAGTAGGATGAAATTTACACCATTTGATCCTAGTCTATTCACATGCAAAATACACACATAAAACAATATAAGTTTACAAACTAACTACATTTTTACTTTGAACTATACACCCTGTTATTAACACACTTCTAAATCTCTGTGCCTTGTAATAAAAAAAAACTTTATTCTCTGTTTAAAAACTGAGTTCTGGTTGTACATGTTTAATATGAAAGTGTATTTCTGTAACACATATCCTAATGAATACTTTCAGCTTGGGTTACTCTCGCTCTAATCAACAAAAATGAAGACAGGGCTTCATTAGAATACAGTGAGACTTCTCAATGACTATATTCATGGAATTTATTGTTTTGTTTTGTTTTTAAAAAAAAGGTATGAAGTTATGCATTGATGTACTTTTTTTTTTTTAAATTCCTCTATGGAGTTCTTCCACAAACTAACTCCTGTGACTGTAATGCTGGTATTTTATATTTGTCCTTATTACTGGCTTGCTGAACAGCCAGTAATAAGGACAATTAAGATGATTTGGTTTTAAATGGCACAAGTTCTGAAAGTTGTGAGGCAAAGATGTTTTTGCGGCCTTAAGCATTATTTGTGCAGTTCTGAGGTCAACCAAATCTTAAACTTAAGAATACCAAATTTAATTTTCAAAAAAGGATTTGATGGTTCTTTTGAAGTGGCTTTATTTACTTTACTTTATTTACTATCCTTATCAAACTTTTTTTGCAGAATATATAATGGATGGGTGTTTGTTTTATACCTAGAGCAGGGCTGTCAAATGTACGGTGGCCCGCAGTACAACTGCATCTGGTGTCCTAACATCATGTTGGTCATGTGTGTTCATATGTCCGCCTCCTCCGACCAGAGGATGGTTGTGGGTTTTTCTCTCTGTTCCCTCCTTGTGTGTCTTGATCGAGTCAAAGGCTTGCTGAGTGGTTGGGTTGAATTTATTCCTGTTCCAGGATTAGATAATTGGTTGGACAGCAAGCTGTGAACTACCAGATGACAGCCACCTCGCCCCTCTGTCCTGGGCTTCACCACCCAATAAACAGCCTGTGGTTCTGCTCATTGCTTTTAGTGTTTCTGTGTGAAAATCTTAGCCAAACATTGCGTTATTGAATATAAATCGAGTTGTGTTTCTGGTTCTAAGATGAGACCTAGCGATGGCCCAATGAAGCGTTCTCATGCATTGAAGCTTGTACTGAAAAAGGGTTTAACTGATACACTGGGGTCCTATGCCAGCCATCTCTCTTATACCGTTAGAAATCTTGAAGTTGTCCTTGACAGCTCTCTCAAATTAGACAAACAAGTGTCCTCAGTTCCCTATACAAAATCCTTTTGTATACTTTTAAAATTTTAAATAACTTTGCACCCAGTTACCTAACAGACCTTCTTGACGTGTATAGCCCCAAGAGAGCGCTCAGATCCTCTAACCAACTGCTCTTGGTGTAACAAAGGCCCCGACGAAAGACTAGAGGGGACCGAGCTTTTGCAATTGCCGCACCTAAACTCTGGAATAATCTTCCTATAAATGTCCGCATGTCAGAATCCATTCAATCGTTCAAATCACACTTAAACCTCACTTGTTCCATCTTGCCTTTGAAGCAAATTAGTTCAGACTTCCACCTGGTCTGCATTTGTGCTGTTTAACTGTCACTGTAATTGTTTTAAACTGTTATTGTTGCCTTTTGTTGTAATCTGCTTTGCTACCTTATATGAAGCACTTGCATGGACACTGTCCTTTTTAAATGTGCTATAGAAATAAATATTGATTGATTAATTGATTAGTTTAACTGGTTTTTATTTAGGAATAAGCAGAGCGTCCTCTCTTCCGGTCACATTTCTTGTTATGCCCAAATTACCCCTAGGCTGAGGACGTTATACTAGCCTCCCAGATAATTTCATATGTTGGTTATTATTGGCCCGTGGCTATGTGGGAGCCAAATCTTCAGCTCTGCCGAGAATTCATAAAGGCAGGGATTGGACTTAATGGGAACAGCAAATGACATACAAAGAGAGACGGGTATCATAGCGGAGACAGGGGACTCGGTTTAAATGCAAGCATGTTGGGAAAGAGTGAACAAACAAGCGAAAATGTAAAATGAGTATCTTGTGTCTTCATTTTAATGATATTGGGTGTCTGAGTGTCTGAATGAGTCTCACAGGCCAGAATATGCGCTTATTACATGCAAAACATGTGAAGAAGGTAAAGAAATGACAAAAAAAGAATCTTCAGGATATCACAAGCTGGTGGCGTCCTTGTGGTGATACCAAAGCCGGATACATGGTAGGGTTGCATCAGGAAGGTCATCTACATAACAAAAAGTCAAAAGTACCTTTATATAGCTTTTGATTACTTTTAGACTTCTAAACTCAACTTTTACAAGACTAAGCATGAAGACACTCACAAAGCCCAGTCTTGTTGAATTTGTCTCTAAATGTTCTTACCGGTTGGTGGCCATCTTGAAAATGGTTGCCATTTTTTAAATTTAGCCTGACTAATGGATTTCATGAAAAGAGTATGATGAATGGTTGTAAAAATTGATTTGGTACTTGTATCCACACGATTTTACCGCTAACATTTTCTGCTGCACTATCACTGCACAACACATATATCATGATCCCGGGGTGATAACACGTCTTTTTTTGGCACTTTGAATTCTTTTCTTTAAAAAGAAAAATGTTTACTGTTCACAGATACAGCCACCTAGAATTGCCACTGGTATGCACTTTCCACGGCACATACGTCACTTTAATGCAATTGCAGAGTGTCATCTACAGATGGCGCTTTGTTCACAAAAACTTTGACTTGTATAGTTTCACATTCTTTTAACACATTTCATTATTAAATATTTTCACCTGTTAAAATATAAAAACTTTTGAAAATGTAAAATAAATGGATGAAACTTTACAGTCAGTTTGACCATTTATACATTTTGTACTGCAAATCACCAAATTTATTTAAAGTAACAGATGACAGCAAACATATAAAGAAGCGCTTTGAATGTCATTTAAGAAGCCTGGAGAACTGGTCCTGGAGACTACTTAAAGAAATAACATGAAAGCGTTTCACGAGAGTTCAGCCTTTGTTGAAGAACAAAGACTGTAATGCCAAATGTTGACTGGTTGCAAGATTAAAAGTGTATCACACCAGTATTCACTTGATGGATTTGGGTGGGTGTATAAGTGTTATCACTATTTGGGTGTTTGGGTGTGAGTTTTATTGGGGGTGGGATGTTGTCTTTGGAGACGCAACAGGACTGAGTTCAGCACTCAAGTGAACCACATGGTGCCTTCCAGAAAATAAAACGGTGACAAGTACCCGATACACACACAGAGGCGTTGCAGGGCGAGTGTCCATTTACTCATGACAACAGAGACAACTTTCATTTAGACTCTAGTGCTTTTGCAACTGATTGCGGCATTGACTCTTTGTTTTGCTCTTGTACTTAATTTAGATTATTTAATTTTAAGATGGGTCAGTCTGACCTGCAACAAAACAGAAGAGTCATTCTGACCCACCATGAGGTTCTTGTTCTTGTTCTTCTTTTTCTTCTGTGTCCCTGAAACCACTTGCTCTCTATCCACCTACCTACACACCAACTTACAATGCTTACCTGCCTAGACCCAGCTTGCACACGTGGGACAGTACAGCACAGTACAACCCCTACATATGTACTTGCTGCACCTTCCGACACACGTTTTGTGTCCTCGGTCCTCGGTCCTACTCCTGCTGATGTTGTTGGCGACACTGCCGATGGTGCCGATGACAACAATGATGATGATGATGCCACTGATGCATTTGGGTTGGTCGCAGAGGACCACGTCCTCATCGAGAGACAGTGCACTTGGGACACCACGGTTCAAGCGCACTCATTCGAGGGACTTTTTTCCCTGACACAAATGAGCAAAGCTACGAGCACCTTACCCAGCAGCTTGAGGAATGCTTGTTTCATGTGCCAGTGCCAAAAAGTGATCGCTTGCCAAAAGTGATTTGTGGTACTTAAAAAATTATGGCAGGAATTTAAGCTGCTATAAATGACTTGTTGACTTCAAACCATCAAAAATAGGTCAAAATGGAGGTGGGGTGTGCTCAAAATGCTTTGCCTTCCCAAAATGTGAAAGGATATGCATGCAGAAGTTTCATTACCAGCAGGGGGAGAGAATATTTAAAGCCAAGAATTTGCTAGTGAATAAAAAAAAAAACATATGAAGTACATTCCCAGGTGCTGTAGATGCTAATATGTAAATGTGTTAATAATGTCTGTTTAATCACTTTCCGGTGATTATTTTTATGTTGCCTTGAAATAAAATATCTGTATCTGTTGTTACTGCAACTTCTGCATGTGTGTGCTTTTCATGCTTTGGAGAGGCAAAGCCTGAAATGGACATGATGGGCTGTCTGTTGCAGGTTTTGCCACGAGTTACACTTGCTAAATAAAAAGAATTAAAAGATTTTACAGCTTATTTTATGTAATAACAAATTATCTGTTTGCCTAGAACAGGAAAGTGTTACTTTGCCTAGTGGTCTAGGGGTACCCTCGACATAACATGACGCACAACTCCTCACTCCTGCCACTCCCAGAAAAGGCTAGCAACACAAAACAGCTGAAGATGCTAAGCAGCAGTTTATCTGCTTTGGAGGTTAGCAGTGCCATGTCAACAAATAAAAGTATCCAGTAATCCCTACTGTTCTCTAAGCGACAATAAAAGGAAAACAAAAAACAATTATTGAACCAATGTTTCTAACCAATAACCAAAATGGATTTCAACACAAACACTCGTCTCACTCCTGCTACTGCTGCAGTGCTCAATATATGCAGTTTATAAGTATTTACATTTCTCTACAAAACACTCTTAACTAACAGCATATCAGAAACACAACTTAGCTCACAAAATTCCCTAATGGACTTCTGTTCAGGCTTCTCATACAACTACTTGGTGCTACTTGCAACTGCTTGGTTCTTTGTTCTTTGTAGACGCGACAAGGAGTGGACAGACGTGGCTGTCAGCTGGAGTTTAAGATGCTCAGGTCCATTCAATTATCCAATCCAGCCACAGGAACTTTTACAAACCAATCAGCAGCTCCACCAACACACACACACACCTTCGAGGCAACAGATTATCTTAGGTCATAACAAAAGACATTTCGACATTTTAAGATCTTAACTTTTAAAGGAAAGCATTGCACACTGATTGATTCATTACAGATGAAGAGAATTATTTACAACTTCTTTGTGCTTACGAACAGTTATTCGGTCTGGTCATCTCAATTACCTCTTCGTTTTTTATATATTTATTATTTATTTATTTTATCCACACAAAAAATGGATGTGAAACATTTCTTTTGAAAATGACATGAGATTGAAAAAGTCAGATATTGTGGAGTTGTGGTTTATAAAGCCCTCCCCTTTCTTCCGTTTTACAGGAAGTTGTTTTTCATGTTGTCTGTGTGTTGTGTAACTTCTCTTTCAGTCTCACTGATGGTAGCACAAAGCATTAAAATGCCTGAAGAAGAAGTGCTTTATTCTAATGTGAGGTTTATAAAAGCAAAGAGGGAGACCAATGGTGAGTCTGTATATTCATCTTTCTAATAAGTAATAAGATTTCTCAGAAAAAAAACTCAAAATAGCAGTTTCTTGTGGTTTTCTTGTTTTATTTTTTAAGTACAACCTTGTAGGGAATTTTTAAAATAAAATTTCTCAACAGACAAGAATTTCTAACTAACTAAGAGTCTGGTTTCATGTTTTGTGTTGTAGAAAGAGCTTCTCCAGTGGCTAATCCCACACTCTCTCAAGTCAATATTTCAAGGACTCAGCCGTCCACGACAGATGTGTCTGGTAGGTACAGACGAGGTTTTATTTAACAGGAGGATGAACTTTGAACAGCACTCAGTATCGATCAGGAAGCAAACAGCCATCAGATAAATCTATTTTGTATTTTTTACTTAAAAATAAAAACATGTTCTTAAGTCACACAGAGCGCTGACTTTGGAAACAAAGAGAGTGAATCAATGAAAAAAAAAGGGGGGGGGGATGAATTAATTTGAATCTCTCCAAAAATCTTGCTGTATGTTACTGTATATAGCATTTTTACAGTTAATGTGTGCACCAAATAGATCAGTTAAATTCCATTTAGTTTTATTTATATGGCAGCATTTCACAAAAACAGCCCCAACAATCAATAAAGACTCTACAAGGAAGAACCCAGAAGAAGGGAGCAATTTGCCAATCGGCTTCAAACATTAAAAGTAGTATTGAAAAAACAGAAAGTTTTTTTTAATCTAAAGTATAATAAGGTAATAGAAGGTAATAAATATCCTTATTAAGTTAAAGAGAAATTACATGGACAGAATTTTATTCAATGGACAGCGTTCCCGTAAAAGGAAAAAAAGATGTGCATTTGTTCACTAACAAACTTACAGTGGTGTCGTAGACTGTCAGTGTTAAAATGATGGAAATAAAATTGATATGGATATTGTCTACATGTAACTATAAACATACATATATATATGTATATATATGTATAAAGCATCGAGATATACTGGTGTCTAATTTTCATTTAAGTGGGTGCTGGTTTAGCTCACTGGAATGAGCTGCCAATCGTCTGCTCATCACAGGCCTTGCCACATGTCTTACCCTCTCTCTCCCTCCACTTTCCTGTCACTCTTCACTTCGCCTATTTTATAAAGCCAGAAAAAGGCCAGAAAAAAGGAAACTGAGAAAGTATCTTTAAAGGAGTTTCATCTCACTTCAAGCAGTGAGTAAAGGTAAAATATAAATATACAGGAGCTTTCAGGATCAAAATCACAAAGTGGATCATAAAAATATTAAAAACAAAATCAAACATTTACTCAGAGGTTTTCTTGTGTTCTTTTAACATTTCTCAATAACTCTTAATCTGATGCTAAAGTAGGAGCAATGCTGGAAACCACAGGAAGTGAAGCGTTGTGTTTGAGGTTGTTTGGTTGAGGAGTTCTCAGCTAAAGTTATTTCATGTCTTCCTGGGTGGTACTTAGAGAACCAGTAAACTGCAGCTCAATGAAAGTCCACATGAAGGACTACAGTCGTTATATCTAATATCAGCGACATAAAATTACCTGGGTTATTGTGTTTTATTTTCTAAACTGCCAGCTGTAAGAAGCATCTTATTTGTGACTCTTCTGAGTCAGAAATTCTTGATCACACCTTGTATATTCTAAACTCACGTTGTTGTGACAGCAATCTGTACACGTTTATCTCTCATATCTGTGACATCTCTGTCTTTGCTAACTCTTCAGAGCTTCCTCAACGAGCAGAGCTGAGCGGACATTCGAAGCTACTCTCAGAGAGAGCGGTCCTGCTGGTTGTCATTGCTCTCCTGGCTGCTGCTGTCATTGCTCTGTGTGTTACCTGTGAGCGCTACAATTTTAATTTTCTTTCATAATATTTACAAGGATAGTGTTCTAAAAAAAAATTAAATGAGGGCAAAGTGATAATCTTTCTGTTTAACATTTCTCAAGTGGATGTGTTTACTTGTTTTAACTTTTTAGGGCTCATGTCATAAAATACTTTTTTTAATTTAAGGAATTCAAAAATCTACATGTCTTTTAGTTTGCTGTTGACTGATTTCTTTGTTTTTTGTCTTACACTTTTTTAAATCAGCATTCAAGCAAGGACATCACAGAGAGGGAAGAAACAAACAGAAAGGTAAGCATGTGAAACTCCAAAGCTGCAATGCTGGATCGAAGGTGGATTTTTTCAGACATCTAAACTCTCATTTACAACGTTCACAACAGCTGATTTTACATGAATATCCAAACCCTGTTTTGGCTGTAGTATAAGACTTTTGTTAATTTCTGTTCAGTATTTGAAAAACAGAGACATTCTTGATGAACAAGAGATTAATTTTTAAAAAATTGTGCTAAGATGCTATACAATACAGTATAGTCCACATGTCCACAGTCTCCTGAAATGAAAAGTAAGTTTTGAATTTTGTCTTTGACATATTTGTACCCTCTGATGATGATTAAATAAACATTGATGGACTGACAGAAAGAGGAAGTTAGAATATAAACGGAGGACAGAAGAAGCCTCCTGCTGCTCCCAAACCACACGAAGACGAGTTTAAATCAGACGGATGACAGTCCGATCCCCTTTTTTCCCCAAAATAGAACCAAAACCATGGAGCACGGTGCAGCCTACATGTTCACAATGTCCTAATGCAAAAAGTAAATTTTCAAGTATTTTTTACATTTACATTTTTATATTTTCTTTTTATTACTTTTATCCTCTGATGATGCTTAAAGAAACATTGACTGTTGGAGTGACAGAAAGAGGACAAAACATGAACAATGACGTTTTCCGCCAGACTGAAGTTGTTGTTGTAATCTCTTCAAAGATCAGACGGGTTGTAAATGTGAAGATGGCTGGGAGAAACATAAAGGAAAGTGCTATTATTTCTCCATCGCTAAAACCTCCTGGAACGAGAGCAGAGGTGAATGTGGAGCTAAAAAAGGAGATCTGGTTAAGATAAACAGCAAGGAGGAGCAGGTATAACACACTGCTGCAGATTCATGTTCTCATGTATTTTATCACATCCTGCTGTTTCATCATCTCATAACAGAAACATCTCAGAATAATTTGAATACAAATTCTTTCAGGAATTCCTGGAGAGTAAAGTAAAAGGAACCAATAACTCTGATGATAAGTTCTGGATCGGACTGATATACTTAGCTAAAAACAACACATGGGTTTGGAGGGACGGATCACTGCTGAACACAAGGTTCAATTATTGTGAAAATATTTGTATTCATTTCCAGAATGAAAGTCACCATTTTTTACTGAACATCTTCTGTTTTGTTTTAATTCTTAGTTTGACCTTTTGGAAAAACAAAGATCAAGACAGTAAGAATGGGACAAAAGGGGCAAATCCTGATGAGCAAAGCTGTTTAAGGCTGGAGGCAAAAGGTGGAGCTAAGCTTTTGTCCTGCAAAACGCGTCATAGAAGTATTTGTGAGAAACAAACAGTGACTGAACATTGTAAATGTGCAACTGTCTAAAGTTCAGTCAGTCTATAAAAGAGTGTCAGTAAAAGATACAGACGTTGGAGTTGCGATTTGTTTACAAAGTTAATATCTAAACTGTATATCTCTTCTAGATTTGCTTTTAGTAAAAAATAAAATATACTTGAATAAATCTGAATAACATATTTTGGTGATTTGTTTTTATTAACAGTATTGTTGTGGTGTACGGTGGCGTTGCTGCTGTGGAAATGAAAAATTTGCCTCATTTTATCGTTAAGAAATTTATAAAAAAATACAAAAACTTCAGTTTAATGGAAGAGTTTGGTTACCATTTATCCAAGTTTTATGCTTTATAAATATAATATAACTAACTCATATAATATATATTAGTTGTACTGTATTTTTGAGTAATAAATACTTTCATCTTGTTGGTGTTACTCTCACACGTTTCCAGAACAGTTCATACGAAGATGATTTACTGTGTGGTTTCAGTGAACACTGTCATACTTTTCTCAGTAAACGATCCCTGCTCTAAATCTAAGCTAAATATACCAGATGTCTAAAAGATATCAGCTTATTGACCAACAAATTATCTATATCCTAAAATGACAGAATGTTTCATTGATGTGAATTTAAGGAAAATTTAACTATTTAAGCACGAGGAACTCTCAGTCCTTTAAATTCATCAACACGAAGGTGAAGAAAAACAGAGCTCCAGTGAGACGTGAGGGTTGATCATCAAACAACCACTAGTCTGAACAAAACTTCCCAGAATAGAAGAAAAACATATATCCTGGAGTAAAATATTTTTATCTGCATAAAACTTAGTTGGCATGGTGGTGCAGTGTTTAGCACTGTTGCCTCACATCAACAACATTCTGGGCTCAAACCTTCCTGGGCCTTTCACTGTGAAATTTGCATTTTCTCTTCCTCCACAATCCTAAGACATGTACGAGGATTAGCCACTGATTCTATGAATTTGCTTTCTGTACAATTTTATTTAATTTTTTTTTGTCAGTGAGACTAGGAAGTTTTATTTAAGTACCAGCAAACTTGAGGCCACTTTCAGTGTTTTAAGAATACTTGGTGAAATTTAAAGAAAGAATAGAATCAGTCAAGTGTTAATAATGAGGCGAAAAGTGAACTGAACTGAATTTCCCGGAGTAACCCACCCGAGGGATTAATAAAGTTTTATCTAAACTAAAAGCAGCAGTGAAGGGACTGACTTTTTCTCACGTCACATGATCAGATAACAAAATGTTTCCATTACACATTTGTGGTAAATGTTTCCAGACCATGAAACCCAGAGCAGATAAATGTTTACTATCAATGTAAAACTTGACACGTATACTATTCATGTATCACGCAGTATTGCTTTAGTAGCAAAAAATGTCAGCATTTAAAGTTTTGAAAATCAAATTCCCGATATCTTATAGCTAACTGCAGTTGTATCTTTTAGATGAGGGATGCAAAGCTTCACTTATCTTTTCTCTGTAAAGCCTCAAATTAACTTTCATTGATTAAATATTAGGGAAACCGACATTGACATGAATTTCATCTTTGAGTTCAAAATAAACTAATATTATTTCTAAGATGAGAGAAATGAATGCAATATAAAACATTACTTACAGGTTTGTATTCTTACATTATCATAATTAACATTAACAAAAAGAAACGCCGTGCTATTAGGTCAAGCTGTCCCAAGTGGTCGTGGCAGCCTCTCAGCAATTGACATTTATTAATTCTGTCTTTTTTTCGGTTCGATCCCAAACTTCTTCACCAAACATCAGCCCAGCTGTTCATCCCTGGAAGTATCTTCCATTTGTATGTAATGTCCGAGTTCCTGGTCGAACTGGTTTACAAAGATCCTCTTTTATCATGATGAATATCTACTGAGTAAATTTCAATTACTTTATTTTGGCTAAATTTACCACACTGCCTGTGCTACTAGCTTGCCAAAAATTTCTCCCAACTTTCCAAACTGTTGAATCCACTAAAACATAAACATGCGGCCAAATTTAAGCTAACACCTGAGTGTAAGATTACTTTTGAAGATCTCCAGACTCATCTGCTCTTTTCACCCATTCTAGGACACCTACAATTAGACCTTCCCTTTGTTTACACCTACACCTGTGATGTGGGCCTGGGATTCACATTCATTCAGAAAATAACAAAACAAAACTGGAAGTAAAAAAGTCCTGATGACTTGAATATGTCAAACTATACTGTTCCAGATTAGCAGATTAGCAGCAAAGATTATCACCTTTAGAAGCAATAACCTCATTATTAGTAGTATATTAGCAGTAGTAGAAGCAGCAGTATGACCATCAGTCTCACTCCGCTCATTAATCTCTCACCACAGTACCACAAGCTGAGCAGGCACGTGCAGAGGGGGGGGGCTAGAGGGGCTTGAGCACCCGCCCCTTTCCTGATGGGTGCCCAAAGTGCCCTTTTGTTGAGGCAACTTTAAAAAAAAAAAAAAAATTTTTAATGTGTGTGTGCGTGCGGAGTCCTGTCTGTGCCCCTCAACAATAATATTTAACTATATTAATCACAGTTTTGCTAAATAAAAGGATCTGGCTTGCATCACTCACATGATCATATTTAACCAATGATCACCCTTGACGGCAGAACGCGCTGGTTACGAGCCGGGAACGAGCTCACAAAGAGCACGCGCATTTTTAGCGGTCCGGAGTGTCGTGGTTTTCGGTAGGGAAAGAGACGACACCTTGTAGAGCAAACAACTTCAACCTTTATTTTCTCACTTCCGGTACCCAACACACTTCCACCATAAAACCGGATATACTTAAACAGATAACACCACATCCTCCTTTCGCAGAAAACAACAACTTATTGAAACATTTACTGCATATGGGAAACTGTACTTTCGTTACTTCTTAGAACCTACTGCAGAAACATAGCTACTCTATGACAGTCCCTTCACGCCTAGTGTCTGTAATCCACACTGGTTGCCCCGGTGCGAGTGGAGGAAGTTCAGTCGCCCGATGTCCCTCGCCCTTCTCTCTCTCGCTTTTGCCAACACTGTATTCTTATTGGGCAGGCTGGGATTGAGCAGGGAAGGAAGCTGGGGAACTGGCGTGCGCAGTCTCCGTCCCATCAGTAGTTGCGCCGGGCTATATCCGTTAGCCAATGGTGTTGCTCTGTAAGCTAGAAGTGCAAGATATGGGTCTTTTGCCTTCTTTAGCAGGTTTTTCACAGTTTGGACATGACGCTCAGCCTCGCCATTGCTCTGTGCAAATCTAGGACTGCTTGTTACATGTCTGAACCCATACGTTGCTGTCTTTGAACTGTTGTCCTGAAAACTGAGGTCCGTTGTCTGTGTAGAAAAGCTCTGGAATTCCATGTCTGGAAAAGACAGATTTTAGGTGTACTATAACATCTTCCAATCTGGTGGGGGTAAGTTTGGCTACTTCCACAAATTTCGAGTAGTAGTCCACCAAAAGCACATAGTTGCTGTCATTGAGTGTAAAAAGGTCTGCACCAACTTTTTGCCATGGCCTCTCCGGGAGTTGGCTTGGCATTAAAGGTTGTACTGGGTTAGTACGCTCTTTGATGCAAATGGTGCAGTTTTTCACAAGTTCGTTTATTTGCCCACTCAGACCAGGCCACCACACTGCCTCTCTGGCTCTCTCTCTGCATCTAGACATTCCCTGGTGCCCCTCATGTAGGGCACTTAGGACAGAGTGGCGCATAGCAGTGGGGATTACTAGTCTGGTGCCTTTCAGTAGCAGATTGTCATGTACAGTTAAGGTCTCTCTGTGTGGCCAATATGCTTTGATTGGGCCTACGAGATGGCTGTATTCTGGCCAGCTGCTCTGACAAAAAGTCATGACCTCTGAACATATGCTGTCGGTTTTTAGCTGTTCTTTTACCTGTGTGATGTATGTCGAGGTAGCAGGCATGCATTTGACAATTTCATCCACATAAATATTTGTGTCTTCCAGAAATTCAGCTGTAGCTTTTGAATCAGGGTCTTGGTTAACAGGTGCACGTGACAACGCATCTGCCGTATGGAGTGCTTTACCAGGAGTGTGTGAGATGGTGTAGCTGTACCTCATAAGCCTTAGGCGGAATCGTTGGATCCTGGGTGGAAGCTCGGTTAGGGCTTGCTGGCCTAACAGGCTGATGAGTGGCTTGTGGTCAGTCTCTAAGGAGAAGTGTCTCCCGATGAGGAAATCTTTGAATCTTTCACAACCCCATGTTAGTCCAAGCGCCTCCTTCTCCACCTGTGCATACCTCTGTTCTGTTTCCGTTAAAGAACGAGACGCATATGCAACAGGTCTCCATTGCTCTCCCTCTTTTTGAAATAGGACTGCTCCCAGTCCATAGGAGGAAGCATCTGCAGACAGTTTTAACTCTTTGTTTGGGTCATAGAGTGCAAGGATGGGAGTTGACGTCAGATCGCCTTTCAGCTGCCTGAATGCTTTTTGCTGTGCGCAGCTCCAAACCTACTGATTTTTCTTCGAGAGCAGGTCTCTTAGGGGCTTATCTTTTTCAGCAAGTCCTGGGATAAATTTGCCTAATTGGTTTACCATCCCAAGAAAGCTGTGCATTTCACTGACATTTGATGGCTCTTTCATTTCTGAAATTGCTCTAATTTTGTCTGGGTCTGGCTGTACTCCGTCCGCAGACAAGATGTGTCCAAGAAACTTCACTTCCTGTTTGCTCAGGTCACATTTCTCCAGGTTTAGTGTGACACCGGCCTCTTGTAGTTTATTGAGCACTGTGTGCAGTCTGGCGTTGTGCTCCTGCTGATCCTGTCCCCAAATGAGAATATCATCCATGTGACAGACCACGCCTGGCAGCCCATTAAGGATTACTGACATTCTACGCTGAAAATGTTCTGGGGCAGACGCTATTCCAAAAGGAAGTCTGTTGAAGTAGAAGCGCCCAAAGGGTGTAATGAATGTCGTGTAGTGTGCTGACTCTGGTGACAATGGGACCTGCCAGAAGCCTCTGTTTGCATCCAACTTGCTGAAGACTTTAGCTCCCGCCAGAGAACCTAGAGTCTGTTCAACCGAAGGCAGGATGTACTTTTCTCTGCACACTGCTTCATTGAGGTGAGTGAGGTCAACACAAATACGCACAGAGTCGTTTTTTGTTGGCACTGGGACCATACCTGCACACCATTCTGTTGGTTCT